GGCCAGTAATCCCTGTTGCATTTTGTGCATTATTTGCAGCTCTGAATATGCAAAAGACAAAAGACGAAAAAATGCGCAGAAAGTGGAACCGCGAAATGGCGTTTTCTGTGAAAAATTTCCGAAAAATGCAAGAAGCACTTAACGGCGGTAAGTTTTTTTTTTTTTCCACGAAAAATTCGTAACTCGATTTCCTCTTTTCATCGCCGTCTCACCTCTCATCTGTTCCTCTCAAAGCCGAATCCCACCGGCACTTGTCACCACCTGCAGCGATACAGTGCCGCGGTTTTACCGATGATATACACACATCTTGTTTAGTTTTCATTGATCCTGGGTAACAGCACTTCATTGGAGCAGTAGTAGTACGACAAAATATTTGCAAAAAATGAGGCGAGAACGGTCCTGCGAGCAGAATAGTGTTTCGGGAGTGGAACAGTACGTATGTGAGTTAAGTTCAGTGGCAAATAATACAGTGATTGATTAAAAATTGCATAAACACATTTGCTTGCACTTTCGGAACAAGTAAACTGATGCAATCGCGGTTGGTATCCCTTAGCATCATAATGTTCATGATTTAGACAGACCATCCCTAAAATTATGGGTACACATTGGCGGATCCAGGAGGAAGAGGGGTGGGGGCGATGGATGTTTTCTCCAACGGCACAGGTAGCAGTTGTTTTACTGTAGAAAACTCTCTTCGAACCCTTCTCTCCTTTCCCCCCTCCCTTCCCCCTGACCGTCGCCACAGTTTAGGATGGACCAGCGAGGAAGGGGAGAGGAGGAGGGAGGCAGTGAAGTTTCCGACGTTGCGATGAGGTGGAGGGAGGGGGAGAGAAATCATCCAAATTGCCCCCTCCCCTCTCTTTCCTTCCGTCCCCCAGGAAGCCGTCCTAGATCCGCCTGTTCGGGTACAAGGCTTTTTTTTGGGTCTTAAAATCAGCCGCTATAATCGTAGATTCTGTTTTGATGTATGAAACAAGACGCTAAACTGTCTTATCACAAGGCAGCTTTCCGGACAGCAGCGTTTAGCATACTGTGCACGAAAGAGCCGCCTCCCAAATACTTTGTTATGCTCGAAGCTACAGGCACTCTCCTACAGGTTCCGATTACAGGGTAGACAAATTATAGTCAAATTTTGACATGAACAATCTGACAGGTTGGATTAAAAAGATTCATACACAAATTTTATTTAAGGAATCGAGCTATCCCTAGCAAGCTTTGTCTACTCTAATGATTTTGAGATAAAAAAAAGAAGACTTGGTCACATCACTGGTTTCTCAATTTGCATGGATTTGTAATTGCCCTTTTCGCTTTCATTGCTGTTCATCATCGTAGCACAGCGAATCACGCTTGTGCGTGCTCTTCTCGTCACAGTTTTGCATATTTCTCAAGCTGCGCAACGCCGAAAAGGTCCAGGGCTGATAATCCTGTCATACACGGACGTTTTATGCAACTTCGCCTTCTTATCAAAAGCCATTGACGGCGCGCGCGCTAGGCGTATCATGCATTTTTGCGCTATTTCGCGCTGTAGCAAGATCGCAAGGAATCACAATAGCTAGAATTTGTGACATACTGGCCGTCGAAGCTCACACGAAAACATCAGATTACAGATAATATGTCCTAATCTGTACATGGTAGAGCGTCTCATTTACACATTCCATTAGTTACTTGTATAAGTTACTGGTCGATGTTTATATAGGTTAATTACCTGTATAGGTTGCTGGTTGTTATCTATACAAGTTGTAAGAGGCCGTACTAATAACTGCCACTTCTTCCCACAATTTCTTCTCTGTTTGGGGCTATGGGATGAAAAATATGCTGTTTCATCGCATGGAATTTTGAATCCCATTCTAACTTAACGAATGATCTTTTTATGCAACCCTGCCTTCTCATCAAAAACTCAAGCTGGAACGCACCAGGCGAACTGGTGCGATCATGCATTTTTGCACTATTTCGTACTGTAGCAAGATCGCAAGGAATCACAATAGCTAGAAAATTTGTGACATACTGACCGTTGAAGCTCA